TTAGTAATTTTATGTCTGATTTTGTCAGAGTTGTTTAGCCATGTGTTTTTAAAACATTGAAAAAACCTCACATCCCTCATATTTCATGGCAACAAGGAGGCAAAATATCAAAGGCTAGGAAGGAGCATGTGCTGCTCTGAATGCGAATCTTGAGGAGCTGAGTAAGTCCCTGTCCTCAGCAGTTTGACATAGTAATCTTCCCTGGAAGTAATCTCCTTGTCCCATGTGTCCTGCTTTAATCTATCAGTATTTCTGCAGTGTGCAGCAAGAAATTGATTTTCAGTAATTTTAATGGCTGAATAACTGGTGCTGTCCCAGAGTGTTTTTTCATATTTGCAGTGGCCAATGTGGTAACTGAGGGCAGTGTTCTGGATAATGGGTTTCATTAGCTCTGATGCCTGAGGTAAAAAAGCAGTAGGTGGGAATAAAGCCTTGTTTTTGATGTCTAGACGTTCATTTCAGCTGTTGCTGCAATATGATACATTAAAAGGAAATATGTAACATAGCTCTGAGGAAATATGTATTCTTTGAAACTAATTCTGCTTTTAAACTGCACAAGGCAGTGTGACCTGAATTATTAAAATGTGGGTGGCTGGATTTCTTAAAGGTATAACTGTCTCTGCAGCACCGACACAGCCTCGACTTGCCTCCTCTCCTTCCTTCCTATATTTCTTTTAAGTAAAATATGTCAGTTTGGCCACTGAAGCAGAACAGAGATCTTATTATCTTTCCAGTATCTCTGCTGGGAGACCTAAAATTATTGAAGTATTTGCTTTGATATTTTGCTGTGACTTCTCTCCTTGAAATTTTTATAATGGATCTTTTTTTTTTTTTTTTGAGAACATGGCTGGCTTCATAAAAATTGTTGGACACTTTGAAGACCTTAATATCTCTGACTTGAAAATAAAAGAGATCCCAAGCCAACTAATCTGCTCATTAATGTATGTTTAAATTATAAATTTCCCATGTAAATCTAAATTATTGTAGTTGTCTTTCATTCTTTTAACATTTGATCTGCAAGAATAAACATAAAAATCAGCACAAGTATTTTATTCATTTTTTGAACCTATGAAAACAAAATCATAACAAATGCCTAAAAACTTTATATATTAAGGCTGTTGATTAATTCCCATTCTGTTTGAACACCAGCAGTGAGATTAACACTTCCACTGTTATCCATTATAAGTGTCAGATACACGTTTTTCTTGTCCTGGATTTTCTGCTATTCTTGATAGTTTTTTTTCTGAGAATCCAGATTTTTAGAGACAGAACATTGCTAGACTTAGTGGTTTATTTTGGGAGCTAATTTAATTTTAAAAAAATAACAAAACATAACTAAGGAAAGCAGTTGCTTCTTTTGCTGAGAAATGACGTGGTGAAGTTCTCCCTCTGCTGCAGAGCAGTGAGAAGGGGATGAGCTGCCTGTTAAAGTAAAAGCTTCTCCCAGGTGTTGTCCTTCTCCAGAGTGTACAGAAGCTTGCATAGGGTAGTTAACATACACAGAAATACATGGATTTATACAGAGAGCTATAGCTACCTGTGTGCACAAACCTGTCCCCGTGGAGGAGCAGTCACCTGACAGATCACCCTGGTGAGAAGGAGCCTGGGCTCCTGGAGGTCACCCAGGCTGACCCCTGCCCAGGATGGGGTTGCTGCAGACAGGGATCACATCAGCCATGGCTTTGTCTCCCCATGGCCTGGCAAGCAGTGACCCACAGCTTGTCACCTCTGCTTTGCTGCCTCTCCAAACTCATCCTCTGCTCTGACTTCCATGGAGGAAAATGGTGCTCTGTTGTGTTTTCCCTCACTAAAACATTCCATCTGTCCTTGATTGTTCTCCTAGAAGTTCTCTGTTTTGGAAGATGCCTTTCACACCTGTTGTTCAGTGTTGCATTTGTTGGGTCTAAAGAGAAATATTTCAACTGAAGTAACAGAAATGCCTCCAGGACAGGCCAGAAGTGTTCCCAAGTTTTGGAACCTGCACAGCACCTGTGTTCTGCTGGCTGTGCCTGGAAATGCTATCAGGAGCATGGGAAAGCTGAGGGGGGCTGGAGCTGAACGTTTTGAGTGTTAAAAGCATTAGAAATCATCATGTAGAGAGACAGAGACTATTTCCTAGGCTTCAATTTGCTATAAGGAATTTCAAATACTCTTCAAAATCTGAAGTCTAGTTAAATAATAAGTGTCAGGGGCTTTGGAATTTACAAGGATAGTCTAACCTCTAGTGTTTTGCCAGGCTTTTTTATTGGTCACCATATGCATCCTGAAGTTGTAACTTGCTCCAGTCATTTCAACACTTTTCTTGTGGAGTCTGGATCAGGGAGCCAAAGAGCAGAGAGAAAGTGAAATGCTGCACTTCTAATTTTTTCTCCTCATTTTCATGGCATCGGACATATGTACATGCGCTTAATTGTAAGATGTACTTTTTTAGTAGGATAAAGAAGCATTAGAGATAATTACAGTAAGTATAGTGCTTTAATATAGCTGGGAATTAAAGGCATTATTTATTATAGGAAAATGGTTATGGCAATGTCTTATGATACACTTAGAGTTAAATTTAATAGGGAAGTAATTTTATTTCCATTTAATATATAATTTATGTGAATTCTGTGTACTATGAAAGGCAGTTTGGAAAATTACAATATTGAGGGTTGATACCACTCCAGATTTTCCCCTTTTCCCTGTCCCACTCCACTGCTGCTCCTCAGCCAGTCTGACCTCATGGCACACTTGACCCTTGGGACTTGGCTGCAAGGTTAACATTGCTTTTCCCTGCTTTTCCTTGGATTTTGGACACCTTCCTCTCAACCATTTCCTCTGCTGAGTGCAGGACAGCCATGGATGCAGCTGTGGTGGTGGGTAGGGAGGGGGAGTGCTGCCAGTTTCCATTCCCTCATCCAGTCCCTCCTGCTGGGATGTGTAGTGCTTTCATGTCCGGGATTGTGGAGGAATAACAGGCTGGGGTAGCCCAGGGAAACTGAGCAGGAAAAAAGAATACAGGTGATGTCCAGACACAAAAGAGTTCTGGATTAAAATTACCCCAACTCTACAGAATATTACATTCAGTGGTGTAAAGCAGTGTGATCTGATCTGAATTCTTCTGAAATGGCAAAATTATACTTGCAGAAAATAGTTCTGAGAGATGATATAAGCTGTGACAGGGTCCTGTTAGTCTGTTGTGTATACCTAGGAGTAGGTAGGGAGTTAGGATTGAGAACTTCAGAACTGGTGGTGGGAACCTGTAAAATCAGACTTGGTTCTTGTCTCCCTTATTTTGCATGAAGTTCCTAAAGCAGGGGCAGTACTGGCAGTACAGCCTAGCGAATTTATTTTGACTTGTACAGGTTCTGTCAATTTCATGATGTTGTCCAAAATTTTGATTTTTTTAATTTAAATACTGAATTTTCATGCAGGTGTGATCTCTCATAGTGTAACTAATCTGTAGCTTTTCATAAATTTGAGGATTATGAATTTTTTAAGTGCAAGACTCGACCTGCCTCGGAGCTTCTGGGGCTTCAGTAGTTCTGAGCTGTTGAGAATTTATACATCAATGGCTCTGACCGTGCACGGGGGTTGTGAGTCCCTTAAGCACAGTGTTTTACCCATGAAAGCAGAGTTCTGTGCAGTAAATAGCCGTGGCCCATTACATCCTCGGTGTCAGCGAGGCTGGCAGGCATTAAAGGGCCTGCAGTGGTTTCTAAGGAAAAGCTCCTTGGCTGCTGCTTGTGCCCGGGGGCACAGGTCTGTGTCTCCATTCTCCCAGCAAGTCCTGTGCTGTCAGATAAGGTGATTTTAGGTTCTAAAACCCGGCTTTTTCCATTCTGCACGAAGAGAGAGGCTCTGTTACCGACATTAACATATCACAACATTGCACATGCAAAAAATATTCCTTTTCTTGTCTGAGTGTGTGAGTTACAGCTCCTGCAGAAGCAGCAGAACAGTGACTCGAGGCTTTGAAGGCTGCTGACAATATTAGTATTTTCCATGGAGCACTAACTCCTTAGAAGCTTGCCTTTAAACATGGTTGTAAACTATGCTGAGATAATCATCTCTGAGCGATAGACGCGCTGCTGGGAGGTCTCGTCCTGCAAATAGGCCAGGGAGGGGTGTGAAGTATTCAGCGCTTTTAAGGTGCAGTAGAATTTTATGTTTGCACTTTTAAAGATTTGCCGACTACTCTTGTGAAATTGAAATGACAGAACTCAGGCAATTAACGAATTCTTTCTCCTTGAAAAAGTTGTTTTATCACCTGTTTTCACTCTGCGTTTTCTGGCTGAGTAAGATTTAGAATCTGGTAGAGGCATACCAGAAATAGTGCTACTCCTGGTAGTTTTAGCACCCAGAAGCCGTGAGTAAGGACAGCAGATATTTCTGAGGGTTGTCTGTCCTTCAGGTGACTAATTCAGGCTGCATTCTACTCTGAGAGATAATTAGACTTACTTTTTTAAACTCGGAAATCTCTGCAGATCAGTACTGAGTGTACAGTTTTTATTTTGGTGTAAAATCTGCTGTGTATTGCTAAAATTGCAATAGTTGAAGTCAGTACAATGGAGGAATTTCACTTGAGTGTGACAGCGAGAGGTTCAGGGGAGTTGTTTCATGTTGTTTCAGTTATGTAAATTGATTTTACACCTTTAATGATTGACTTTGTTTCTTGATTGTCGGCATCTGTGGTTAAGTTTTAAAGGATCTCTCAGCAGTGGTGGCAAAGAATGATCGTGCATTCTTCACCCCTGTACTTGAATACGGAATGCTACAAACAAATGGGTTTGCTTTTATGCTTTTGTGTTTGCTTCTTCTTTTTTTTTTTTTTTTTTTTTTTTAATTCAAAGGCTGCGTCTTCGGCAAGTAAAGATTAAAGCTGCTCGGGTGATATAGGTAATAGTTGAAATAGTTTAATGAAACATGCTACTTTGAAAATTAAAGCTGTTGAAGATATGTTTTGGATAAATGTTTGTATTTCCTTGTTCTGAGCATATTGACATTTTGTGTTTTTGTAGTGGTGGAAGAAGGATTCTGGGAGAATGGACTTTCCTATGAGTGTAGGACCCTGCTCTTCAAAGCAATTCATAATCTTCTGGAAAGGTAAGAAAAACTCTAGTGCTCTCAAATATTTCATTTGGATACTTAAAATCATACAGGATACCTACAGAGCAATTATATTAACCTACATTTTTTAGAGTTAGACTTTGAATCCAAGAGAACAGGATAGAGATGAGTCTCTTAAGTCATTGACTCTGGTAATTTATCATAAAATGCTGTGCAAACAAATTCAACACTCATATAAACAATAATGTTGATACATATTTCTGCTCAGATTTTTGCTAAGGAGTTGTTTTAAAAGCAAAGAAGGGGGAGTTTTCACCTTCTGCAAGTGCTTAGAGAGTGTAATTGTATCTGACCTTCACTGCCTTGATGAGGTTAAATGATACATATCTTAAAAGCTCTTAACTCTCTTCTCTCAATTATCCTGGTTAAGTGAATGTTAAAATTTGACTACATTTGTGCACAATATTCAAAGTGAAGCTTAACAGTTCCTTGCTCTGATAAGCTATATATATATCTATATATATATAGATAGATATAGATATATATCTATATATATATATATATAGTCATATATATATATATATATGACTTGACTGCAGAGTTATCCTGTGATTAGTTAATACACTTATGCCCTTTTTCTTCTTAATCCAGCTATCACCTTTTAAGGTTACCTTGTTTTCTAGGCCCATTGAGTGGGACATGGCATCTTGGGCTGTATAATTTTATTCTTTCTGTTTCTGCAGTTCTTCAGGTCATCATCACCTTCCTGTATTACATCCTAGTTCTTACAAATTTGGATATCTTCTTACAATTAAATGTTATTAGACTATTCCCACTTTCTCTGAGGTTTTAATAATAATAATAACAACAACAAAATAGAATGCACCTTTGTGTTGCAGTAATTTTGTAGAATGCAGCCTTGGATATTTTTTCTTTCAGAAAATAAGCAAATGGAGAACACTTTCATCTTGTCTCATTTAGTGTCCTGTTTGCTTTGATGTAGATTTACTGGTAATGAGGTTTGCATTATGTTCCCGAGGCTGTGTTTCCATGGGGTGACTGAGTTACCTGTGTGCATATCCCCAGGTACAAGGATTAGTTGTTGTATTCCCTGTTTTCTATCCCATCAGTCTCTTCAGGGGATTTTTATAAAACTTGTAGGGTACTTAGAATGAATGAAAGTATAAAAATTAAATTCCAAGTCTAGAATGTTCATTAGTTCTTTTGCAGCTGTATAATATAAAAGGGAAAATTAATTTGATGTGTGTTTATTAATCTGTAGTACCCAGCCAGCTGACTTTTAAGTGTAAAGTGGTTAATTTTATTCTTTGGACCTCTTTAAACTTGTGAAATAAATTTAATTTCTTTTTAATATATAACTTAATTGAAATCAGTTGGCAGAGTCAGCAGAACTGTTCTGTCCAGCTGTGACTGGAGTCTTTTTCTTCCAGCAGTAGTTGGTGAACACACCTCAGGTGTTTGCTGACAGCCTCAGTTCATGTCCTGATAAACTGAAACAATTCATGTCACGATAAGATTATATGATTAATGTTGTGATAAGATGATATGATTAATGTTATGATAAGCTGATATGATTCATGTCATGATAAGCTGATACAACTCCTGCTGTAGTTCCCACCCTGGACATGAGCATCTTCTCGCTGCTCTGCTGACTACAGTTTCTACACTTTATTAGTTGAATTTAATTCAAGTTATTCACTTTTTATTTATTATTTTTAATTGGCCTGCTGTACCATATCTGAACTTAACGTAATAATTACTTCATTTAAAGTAATAGCAGCATGTGTGCAGGCTTTATTAAATAGCACTTTAACCTTTAAAGTCCTATTTTAGCCGGTGTTCAGGAAAAGCCCCATTAATACAGCAGAAGGCTTAGATCCAGTTCTGGCCCATCAGTGCCGGGTGGTGCCGGCGGTTGCGGTTTTGCAGGGTTTGGGGTTTATTTCGTGTTTATTTTGCTGGAGGCTGAGGGGGATCGGCCGTGGCGGGAAGGAAATGGCGGGAGGAGGAGCCATGAGGGGGGAGCGGCCCCTCATGGAGAAGCCCGAGGGTTCTGTGGGGACAACTTTGACCTAACTCTGGCAAAGTCAAGAAAAATGGCTTTTACACAACTGATTGTGTTTTATTTTTTAAAAATTTTTCCCTCCCCCCCGCACATTGAAGCTCAGATTATGTTAATTGGCAATATAGAAAACATTACAAGATTTGAGGGATGAGTACTCAAAATATTACGGTGTCGTTTTGTAATGATTGGTGTGCCCTTGGCAGGTCATTTTTTCATGGAAAAATCAGAAATACAGGAGGTCAGGCACCAGTGAAGAGCTGGAACAGCTGCGCTGCTGAGGGACGGATCGCCCAGCCCTGAGGGGGGAGAAAAGCCAGGACCTGCGGGGTGTTTCATGTCTTTATATCATTAACTAACTGCTTTTTATGACCATGTATTAGTGTTTTGTGGTTGTTTTTTTTTTTTTTTTTTTTTTTTGTCACAAGTCCATTGTTGCAGCTCACTGTGAAAGACTAGGTACCTTTAGTGCTTATACAGCAAAAATAACCATACTATCGTGAACTGCCCCCCCGGCTGCATCTGAAATCCATGCTGCTGCAGGCATGGCTCTGATTTTATATGGGATTATTCCTTAAATAACCCATGATTTAGTTTAGCATGGAGGGTTGACTGATTTTTAAGGACAAATCTTCCCATGAAGACTTTTTTTCTAGGAAAGCAGCATTAGCTTGAGGCAGTTAAACCTGCTGTGGTGAGACACAGCAATGTGGCATTGAAGTGTGTGCGATGGGAAGAGTTTATTGCATTTTTTTGCTACTACAGATTATTTTCTTTAGGGATCTGATGTAAACTTCACAGACTTCCTTTTGTTTGTATAAAACATGCTGGCACTGACAGAGTCTCTGATAGCAAATATTTCCTAGGGAAATAGTTGCTGAAGCTTTTTTTCCCCACCTCTACTAATGTCTTTAGATCTCTGCTGCCTTAGCTTTCATAGTCAGTTTAAGATATTGGTTATTCATCTGAAGTAGATTATTTTTGCTTTAATTGAGAAAGTGCTGGTAGAATTTTCTTCAGCTTTAACTTTAGAAAGTCCTGCCAAGTTTATACAGAAAAATTAGGAGCATATTAGTATTTACGTTGTCAGTCGTCCATTTCCTGTGTCTTCTAGGTATGCTTTTGAAGTGTAGATCACACAGCTTTTTGAACCTTGCAGAATGTACTTGCCCAGAAAGTTTCATGTGATTTTTAGGTTTTTTTCCCTTTTGTTTTGGCTAATCTCTAGCAGCTGCTATAGAAATAAACTATTGGAAAACTTAGAAGAGAGGAAAAATCCAATTCTTTCATCTGAATAAAAAATACTGAATAGATGTGAAATGTATGGGCAAGGCTTGCATATTACTTGTAATGGTGTACAAATAACCAGTTTTACAGAATTTTTGAAGCATATTATTTACCTTACTGAAAAATATGCCTTAATTATGAATTTCTGTGTGTGATCCCTTGGGCAGCATGTTCGAGTGTACATGTTTAATGTATGAGGCATACTCAGGTTTGGCAAATTGCTCCTGTGATTCATCTGCACAGGTGGACTTAGAAAGGCACCAGGCACTCCCTAACTTGTCCATTTAAATTGGGTATTGATCACTTTGAGTCCTCACTGTTGGTTTTTTTTTTTTTAAAGAATATGCAGTTTCTAAAAAGAAACTGTGGACTCTTAAAGGGACCACAGAAAATGGAACTTATTGCTCTAATTTTGGTGATGTGGGAGTATATTTGATGAAGTGAGGTTTCTGACAGAGGGAGCAGTAATTGTGGGAGTTTCAGCACCTGAAATCATGCTGGGGATCATGTGAAGGGAAAATTGAATCCTTGTTAATATTCCCTTAATGCAATTTTCTGTCATTCCTATACTGTACTATTTATGTGCCAAAATAAGGGAATGCATATTCTTTATCATCTGAAATCTGAAAGACTGGATAGAAAAGAATCAGTACTAATGAATGGCCTTTGTTGAAGAAGAGGAGTGTGAAAAGTAGAATGAGGGATCAGTCAGCAAAAAGAGTAGCACAGAGTGGAAAAGATTGTGGCAAAGGTGAGGGGAAAATGCATGTGTGAAGTTCAGCATCAGTGACAACATCATGATGTGGGGCAGGGGTTTTCTGTGACTGATGTGGGAAAACAAAAAGTGGAACCCAAAACCTACAAACTTTTATTTCAGTCTGATTGAAATTCAGCTGCTTAATCCCTCAGAGTCACTGTCTTCAAAGGCTCCCTTTAATTACACTGTTAGATGTAACTAGTAATTGTTGCTGTAATTGTTTTCTAGGTGCCTGATGGATAAAAACTTCGTAAGAATTGGGAAATGGTTCATACGGCCCTATGACAAGGATGAGAAGCCAGTTAATAAAAGGTAAGGAGATCTCTGCATCAAGTCCTGCTCCTGTCAGTGTTGTGGATTGTGGGGTGGTAATTGGATGCTGAATTTTGGTGGTAGTTTCCCTGCTTCTTTTGCCATGTAACAAGTAAAAGCACAGACACTGTGTTCACATCAGTAATACATAGAAAGCAATTAAGTAAGTTTTCAGGCCTTGTTATGATAATTTAAGATAAGAAGGCGAGGTTGGTATTTATCCATTAGCTCCATAGAAATGTCACATTTATTAATATCTTTTGAGCAGCATCTGCCTTTTCCTCTCATTATACAACAGAATTGCAGGCAGTTATAACAAATTATTTTAATTTCTGGACACTAAACCCCAGGCTGACATTTTAAGCTGTAAAATAAGTCATCTATAGATTTCCTGATTTATTTTCCTTAAAGATGCCACCCTCGATACACGGCTTTCCCTGCTCAGGCAGGCTGACAGATCAGACCTATAGGAGTGATTAATGTGCTTCTCCCACAGCAACACAGCCATGGAACAGGGGTAGCTGGCTCCCCTGCTCGCTATTTCCTCTCGAGCTCTAAAGGTTACAATGTTCTCAGATCTTCTGGTACTTGCATTTATAGTCATCTGCTAAACAAGTTCTGTCAAAAATAATCTGAGTTAAGCTGAAACACAGATTTTCTAACGGGAATCATTTTGACAGAACTGGGTTAGGAAGTGACTAAACACGCAGTTATGCTGGGAGATTTGAAGGTAATGAGCAGTGGAGATGAAGTGGGGTGGCAACTTCTTCATCCATCCAGCGCAGCTGCAGTCACACAGCGTCTGATGGCAGGGTGGGGACAGGTGGAAATCATCCTGCACATCAGACCTGTCTTTTTCCTCTCATTGTGATCTCACTGCTAGCTTTAGCTGCAGAAATGTTACAGTACAATGCTACAAACCGTTGGCTTCCTTCAGTAGCAACTACCTGCTTATAAACTGCATTTGGTTTTGAGAGAATTCAGGAACTGACCATGGATTTGTCTCCTTTCTAAAACCTGAAAGTGTTAACATAGCTTGGAGTTACCTGCTTTGTTACTGTTTACTTTGTGGCTGACACTGTGTGTGTGTAACCTTTGATTTCACAGTGATCTGATGGCAAGGAGCCATGGAAAGGTCCAGGTTTTTCCATAGCTTCCCCTGTCCTGGCTGTGCGTAACCACCTTTCTCCCTCATGTTTTCCCTGCTGCTTTTCTGATCATACCAACATCAGCTTAATTTTCTGCAAGATTAATTCCCTTAAGTGACGTAAGTAGGGGTCAATTCCAGTTTGTGGAAAAGAGAGGCAGCTCCTTTCAGCAAAAGCTGTTTGTTTTATCCACGTCATTGCAGCCTGAGTGCTCAGATTAAATGTGCTTGTGAGTCTCCTGCCTGTTCCTGGTGTGTATCAATTTAATAAATTAAGCATCTGATACAGTAGATGATGTCTGTCAAAAACAGCAGCAGCACTGGCGTGGGAGGTAATGTCACCTTAGAATTCTGCCAGATTAGTAAATCCTGTGTCTGATTTATGTGTGTGTAACACCAAATCAACCTGCACAGTGAGGGTTCTGTAGGGGATAATTGCATTTGTAAACAGAAGTGCAGTCTGCACGTAAAGAAATCTGGCCTGGAAGATGTCACAAAACCTGAGTTCATGTTAAACTCAGTTTGTGTTTAAAGTATTCCATATATAAATCTGACACTGAGGATTTAAGGGTTGGAGGGTGCACTCTTGATTTGAAGAAGATAATGCTTGTTGTTGGTTGAGGGAAGGTGTTTGTTTCTCTCTTTATTTTTATAAAGTTCTTGTCACTATAGATCCTTTGGATATGCACCATTTCAAAAGTGTTTATGTAGCAATAATAATTATGCCTAATTTGAAATTTTGGATTTTTTCAGATTTTTTTTTTTTTTGCCATATATATATAACATTAAATTAACTAATCTTCCTGAAAGATTGCAGTAAAGACTGCAAAAATGGACAGTAAAGTCAATTGTGGACAGTAGCAACAAGTAGAAGGAGGCTTTGGGGACTAATCTGTCCAGACACCTTTTATTTAATCTTTTAAGCTTTCTCAGCATAACACAAAAAGCTATCTTCACAAATTGATTCATGTTAATTCCAGATAAATTCTTTGTGAAGCTCTTGGTCTAAGCAGCAGCTTGTTCTAGATAAAGCAATAAGGAATCATTGCAGGAAAGAGACCAACTGAGGTATTTTAACATTAAACCTTAATAGCCAAAAAAAGACAATTTATAAAATATTACTTAAAGCCATATTATTATATAAAGTAATAGAAATAAGTTGCATGTGTGTACAGTGGTCAGATTGGAGTCTGGGAACTGGCAATCCCTGTTGTAAACACCTGCTCTGTTCTCCTTGAGTGTGGAAAGAGATCTGTATGGATATATCCCCCTTGAATGGTGGAAACCAGCAGGTGTCTTTCTGCTAGAGAAACAGGGCCATCTCTGAAGTCTGCTTTTCTACTTTTTTGCTTGTGGCAGAGTTGCTCATCTCAAGTTTCCAATGTCCAGAGTTACTGATGCCATGTCAGGAATACACTGAGGTCCTGGGCTGGATGTAAGTGAACAGGGAAGGAATTAAAAATCAGGGCTGGCTTTCAAGGAATAAAGTCCTTCAGGGCCTGTGGTTTTTGTGAATGGCATTAAAGGAGAGGGATGGGAGGGCTGTGATTTCAGAATGAAGTCAAAGATGAAGTGGAGCATGGCAGTGGCTGTGACCTACTTATGCTGAGATGTGAGAGGGAGGCCTAAGAACAACAGAGGGCCTGGCCTGCCTTCCCAGGCAGTGCTGGGAACTGAGTGCAGGATGAGCTTTGCTGCTCTTCCAGGAGGACTGAGGGAACAGCAGAGGGAGTTCCAGACAGATCCCCGTATGCTTGTGTTTTGTTTTGCTTTCAGTGCAGACCAGATGCTTTTGACAGGAAATTTAGTGCAGAACTTGTGGGTTTCCTTTCCTAAGTATCTTCAGTATTATGTGTCACTTCCTAAATAATTCTACACATTTTATTGTCATCCTACAGCAGTGTCTAAAATAGGTTTCATGCTACTGAAGGGAAATGGCAAACTCGATTATTTTTTCACACAGCCTTCTAAAGGAGATCTGTGTGTTTGGAGTTCACAGAACTTGTCTGATCTGAGGCATTGGTAGTGCCTTTCACTGTATGATGAAAATTCATTCTCACAGTCTATATGGGGTTTTTTTTTGGTTTTGGAAAGCATCACAATGAAATGTTAAACAACTTACTGAAAAGAAAAAATGATGACCATCTCATGTAAGAATCTTTGCTGATTGTTTTAGTGATTGTTTTCTTAGTGTGAAGGAAATTCAGGGGGAAATCAGTTTATTTTGAACTGTATGAGCAGCTTAAGTTGTTAAGCTGTTTTTAATGAAATTCCATGTAAAGAACACATGAAAAAAATAATTGTTGCTTTTTGTAGCTTAAATAATTTATGGGTCATCCCCTCTTCCAAAAGTGTGCTGGGTATATTTTTAGCCTTAAGAAGAAAACTACTCCATCAATAAAATATTTAGAATTAGAGTTTGTTCCTCTCCTTGTTACTCAGTGAGAAGGCTGACAGGTAGGAACGGGGTTTAGGCAGCTCCTGTGCCCTCTGTGAACCAGCATGGATGGGGGCGGTGGCATTGCAGTCAGGCTGCAGGGACATGCAGCTCTTGGACTGCCATTCCCAAACATGTTTCTAGCTGTCACTGTCCCATACTTGACAACCTCATGTGATGTGCTAGAACTCAGAGATCTCGAGTTGTGAGTGCATGGGTACCTTAATAAATATCCAGAGCATTCCATGTCAGCTCTTGTCCTGTAGACCTAATCCAGGAACTTTTCCCTCTGTAAAAGCTCACTCAGTGCATCCACAGCCAGTTTTGGTCAAAGCTGTGTTCACTTCTGTGTGAACATGAAAACTGGGCATTAATCAGTGCCATCAAAATCTGAAGGCTGCAGACACTTAAAGCACTGCTGCCTCTCTCAGATCCTTGAAATCATCATTGCCTTCAATTTCCTGGGAGTAGCCATAGGACTCATCCAGGGAATACCTAAATCAGTGGTACCAGAGTTGACACTGAGCATTGCTGCAAGCTGCACTTGCTTTGTGCCACGCCAGGAACTCCTGCCAGTCAGGTCAGTGTCTTCACATGGAAACATCAGGGTTGGGGAGCCTGGAGAAACAGTGGAAGCACCAGAGCACCTTGGCTGAATCCCACACAGAGCTTTGCTCCTGGCACAGAAAATGTCTTCTGGCAAATGGCACTCAGGTGTTTCATTACATGGTGACATAGTGCAGTAAAAGCACAGTAAAATAAGTTGAAGTGCTCTCTTTAAATTTTTATGAAGATTTGAATTCCTCAGCAGAGAAAAAAGTAACTGACTGTGCATGTGCAGTTTGCTGTGATGCAGTGAGGAGGGTTTTATTTCCTTGGCTCTGAGAAAAAGAAGTCTTATAAGTTATTTTAATGCTGCACATTTGTTTACTTGTATTTTAGCCATCTTAAAAAATTCAGCAATGTGATCATAAATGTGCCTTGGAAATGGTGTCTAGGATGCTATGGTAATATATATGTACAGTATTGCCAACACCAGTATAAATGAGGAGAGACTAGGCAGCAAAATAATAAAAATCAATCTGACTTAATTTTAAATAATGTGTTCTTATTCCTGACTTGTCAAAATAAATGTGATGGAAATATGGAGTAATAAGAAATACTGTGTATTTTCCAATAATTCTTCGTACCTCTGTAAAAATAAGCTTTTCTATTTCAGTTTAAGAGGCTTAATTCCCAGAGAAATATTTTCATATTTTCAAGGTTTAAGTTCTGAAATGTTATGTACATCTTTGTTGAGTTTCTTCTGAGGATTACTTATGGTTTCAGTAAAACCCTACACCAAGTTGGTGTGCTATATCTGTGGCTGGTGTTATTTTAATTGGTAATCTTGTGTGTGCTAAAGCTGAATTAACT